TGATTTGTAAAACATTCACCAACGCGGCAACAGGGGTTTCCCTCAGCCACTTTTTGGGTTTCAAAAAAAGATCCCGCCCAAACCCAAATTTCACCCCAGATACTTTTTGGTTATACCAATGATATTTTTACGTTCTTCGTCTATCCCCCTAAAGTTTTTTTGTAAAGCCCCAAGCCAAGGACCCAATTAATATCGGGTTGTTGTGAAAAATTTTTTAAAAATGGGGTAAAAAACCCGGCTAACCTTTTGACCGAAATTTTATCTCCCTTCCCTTTGGTTAATGGTCCCGTTTGACTACTTCAGGGCGTACTTTTACAAAAGACATCTGTTTTCGGGTTAAAGACCATCTTCAATTTTTCCTTCCAAAATTTTTGGGAAACCCTGATTTTTTTAAAAAGTTTTTACATGACGATCGGGTCATCGGGGCCGTATCTTTTAAACTTCTTTTTTTAAAAGGATTTTATTGGAAAGGGAATGGAAAACTTCTAGCTGAAAATGTCAGAGATGGGGGCTTTGGGTTTTCGTCGAAAAGGCTCTTGCTAATACTGTTTGGCGTTAGCCCCAATACTCAATGTCCCCAAATTTGGGACATAGTATGCATTGATTACCTGTCTCTGGAACGATCGAAGGGTGGATTCGAGAATATCCTTGTCCTCTCACAGATCATTTCAGTAGGTATGCACAGCAATTTCCTACTCGAAACCAAACTGCCCAAGACAACATGCCAGACTTCTGTTCGACAACTTCATTGTGCCATTATGGTATTTCCGTCCAGAATTCACAGCGACCAAGGCGCAGAAATTTGAATCGGCCCTAATCAAGGAAATTGTGTTCTCTTGCTGGCATAAAGAAGGACTCGAACAACACCTTATATTGGCGATGGGAACGGAATGGTGAGAGGTTTAACCAAACATTACTCAAAGATGCTTGGTACCTTAGAAAGAGCATCAAAAGTCCGACTGGAAAAGGGCTCATGTTCCAAGTCTGGTAACATGACCTACAACGCTACGCGTATATGAGAGTACTAGCTACTCACCTTATTTCGCTCATTAGTTTGGTAGGGCATCCAAGGCTTGGCAAGTTGATGCTTTTTTCTAGGGCTACCCATGACAATTTCATCTAGCATACATCGAGTATGGTGGTTAAAATTCGCGCACCGCTCCGGACCGCATAGGGAAAAGGCCCAAACGTTGCCTCCAAAACGCCCAGGGCAACAAGCTACACTATGATTCAAAAAGGCACGTAGTGCCCAACTTTAAGCCAGGAGATCGTTCCTGAACGTTAAGTTTTTTTTTAAGGGGCAAACGAAAAAAGCTTGCAGACAAATGGGAACCCATCCCCTACATCATCATCCGACAAACCGGTTGGGAAGAATACCTGTGTATGAGGTAAAAACGGGAAGGCCCGAAGTTTAAAAAAGTTCTGGACTCACTATCGGAAAATGCTTCTTCTCCCGTTTTATGTCAACAACAGATGTATTGAATGAAAATGACTTAAATCAGGATGAAGTCAAGGGATGATGAAAACAGTGGATGCTACAAACGAACCTTCTCCAGATCTTGAAGCAAGCAGTGAAGAGAGTGACATTCAATCAGATCATGAAGAAGAGGCATCCACAGTTCCATACGTTATTCCGATGAGACGAGGTCCTGGACAAACAAAGAACCTGACAAAACCTTCAAACCACAAAGAGAGAAGAACAACAACCAAAATGGATGACATCAGGAGAGTGGAATATGTGATGTTATATATTGATTGTGGTTCATGTAAGTAAAATTTATAATCAAAGCGTCGTGTTTGATAGTTGTTTTACTTAAGTGTAATTGTATGTTTGCTTAAAGTACATAAGTGCGATATGATATCATTGAACTGTTTAGAACTTATGGTTATGCAGTAATTTGGTCTTATAGATCTTATAGTAAACTGTATTAATTACCTCATACTTACCGTATTGACTTACGTGCATAATATGCTAATCTTTTTAGCTCAATTTACTTACCTCGATAGTATCAATAAGCAACATACTTACCTGGCATAACCTTCTGTCATGTTAAACAATTGTTAATTGTAGCTCTGTCCTATGGTTCCACGTCTCGTGTCCTATAGGAGCTAACGGATTATCTATCAATTGCATCATCGCAGCAAGCTTTCGAGTTTGATGTTGAATTCTTATTTCTCTTGCTCAAATTATAATTACCTCAGGTATTGTACACAGTAAATTTTTGAGTTTGTAGCCCAGCCAGCGGGTGTGCAACATATGCTTTTGCTATCATTTTCTTATTTTTTTTTTTTTAGCAAATGTTTATATAACTTTTGTATATAATATTGTATATATGTTTGTTTTTTTAAATTGAAGGGAGACGTACAGAAAAGTCAGGAGCCTTTTAAACGAACCTGGAGGAGTATGTCGCGGGAAGAAAATTTTAAAAAAATTTTCCCATTGTTTAATAATTTTTTATACATTTCAAAAAAATTTATAAAAACTGTTTTTAAAAATTGTGTTAAAGTTTTTTAAACCCCTAAGGATCCATACCTTTTTTATCTCCCCTATATTTCTATTATTTTTCTTCATTGTTACTAATTTGGTCCCCCGGGGTAAATTTTGCTATGCATGTTCGGATGTTGTGTATGCTCCATTGCACTTCATATCTGCCCAAATTACAATTTTATTTTGGGGTAATAGTTATATTGGGGGGTTTTTATTTTTAATAAAATTTTGGATTTTTCAGGTTGTAATCTCTACTTATTACTTAAATTATTAAAATTTTACAGAATGTCATTATTGTTATTTTATAGGGGTTTTTTAAATAACAAAAAGAATATATTCAAAAATTTAACTTACCGGGAATTTTACAATACTTCCCTAAAAATTGTCCCCATGTTTTTTAAAACCTGTTTTCATTTCAAACCTTATTTAAATAATTTTTAAATTTCCCCCTTAAAATCTGTAAATATAAGATATAATTACATTGTACAAATAAAAAAACACACGTGGGACACACATACGCGCATAAGTTTTTCACACACTGACTCGCCCGGGGTTCTCGCATGCCATTTGGGGTTTGACTGGCTACTTTTTTAAATGGGAAATGTTTTCAAAGTAAATAAAAAAGATAGAAATTTTACAAAAAAACACACGCAAAACTTTACCGCGCACACATGCGCGCACAAATGATAACAATTAAACTTGTAAAATTATTTCAAACCCCTTTTCTATTTTCTTACTTTCATTTTATGCTTTTTAAGTACAAATAGTTTGCCTCTTAATGGCGTTTGCTCTAACAAGTACAATACGAAAGAACGAATTATGAAAGGAAGGGTTAACAAGGAAGAGCTATATTCACTGAACACAGTCCCGACTAGTGCCAAAATAGAGAGAAATGAAGAATCCAACAAAGACGTCGAAACCTAAAAATTTGTAAATGTTGCAGACCTAGTTTGATTAAGCTTGTTCATGCACGGAAGTGTAAGCTACCGCCCAAGTTAAGCGGAGTTAAATTAGGCGGTGTTTAACATTTAAACATGAAAATGGTAAAATTTTGAATATAGAAACATCCACAGATATATTCATACGGCGGTTACCATGGAACCTTCAATGTGGCACTTTCTTGCCATTCCTTGACAAGCGTGTATGGCCCTAAGAAACAGAAGCGTGTGCAGCATAAACGAGAAACCAATGAGCGTAACGAAATACAATGGAATTTTGAAAGGGGATTAGGGTTATGAAGCATATATATCACAGATAAGACGTGACAATTATGTAAAACAAAGATTAACAAGGGCGTGCCACTTGAAATGTCTACGAAGCTCGGCTCAGTTAAGGATCCATTACCTTTGTTGCTGGGTCGTGTTGTGGCTGCGTTTGTTGAATGCCACCTTTCTTTGTTAATCTTCTTTTCCATTTTTTACATTGAAGGTATGGTCACTTTAGTCTTAAAGTTTTACAAACATTAGAACCATTAAGAAGCATTTATTTAAATCATCAGTATTTCTTATTATTTTAAAAAGTATCCATGAATAAATGACAAAGATATAGCCAAAACCTTCAATGTTCTAAATTGACCTATCTAGCTATCAACCTAGTGTTTAAGCATTACAAGTAGTCCTAATGTGCCACAAATTTATGCCTAGTTACGCCAATATTCATCCATTGAATGACAAAATTCATGACCGGACATGACCTTCAAAATATTTATATCAAATGAAATATGACCTTTAATGTCTGAAATCTTACTTTATGCGATAATTCTTTTCTCACTCAAGACAAATTGTTTCAAAGTACCACGTATTTATTCTTAGCTCCCGCTGAATAACACATATATGGACTGGACATGGCCACAAATGCACTCTCATATCATGGCTTTTGAAATACAAGTGTGACCTTTGAACTTTTGTCCGCTACATGTCGTCTTATAAAGAGGCGCCATATTTATCCAAAATTGATTTTTAATTCATCCATGAATGACAAAATCGTTAACCAGACTTTTTTAGAGACTTTAAGGAAATATTTTGTTCGATTTTGGTCTTTGATTTACATCATCAGCTGGGTTTTACATCTGACTCATTGTCCCAATGTGCCATATATTTATGCATTTTTTTATTATTTATGAATTATTTCAAAAGGCATCAATTAATGAGAAAGTTATAGATAAAAACGTTATTTCATACACTGAATAGTCTATTTACTTTGCAGTTATGACGCCGTTATGAAATGTTTGATAGTTCGTGTAGAGTTATAATATATTCTGTACTGAACTGTAATCTTGTCAGAATATATGAGGTATGTGTCGATTTTAACACCGCTGTAACGAATAGTTAAGGACTACATACAAAATTTGACAAAAACATTCTTATCTTTTTAATGAATGTACGTATATAAAGCATACAAAGTACATAAGATTGTTAAACATTTATTTATAAATACATGCACATGGAAAATCGATTTCTATTTGGTACATAAGTATATATATATTTAAATCGTTTGAAATGGTACTGTTTCCAAACTTTATTATACAAGAAGTAAAAAAGTGACACAAAAAGTAGTACTTGTAGTGAAATCTCTTTTAATAAGCTAAATATGTTTGATAAATTTCGTGCCTTTCATAAATATGAAATGTATCACTATATAATCAACATTTTATTTCATTATACATGTACTTACAATATATAAATCATCAATGATAAACTTAAGAAGTAATTGTACTTTAACGTTAAGCTATAGACGCTAACAACAACAAATGTGAATTTTATTAATTGTGATCAAAACATCAGATATACATTTCTATACAACATGTACAATATTACAGAATATGTTAAATAAAGAGCCTAAAGATATTTTGGTAAATGTTACAATTTTCAATAAACTACACCACTTTTATAATTATGAAATATATCAAAGTCCATTAAATGATATAATTATAAATTTTTTTTATCATACATACAGTGCTTAAAACACAAATAATTAAAATTGACGGATAATATTTATTGTATTGGAATATTGAATATTGCGAAATGCTAGCCATATGATATAAAAACAAAACTCAATGTATTCGTTTTTGCAATCCAAACAAAATTGTATTATTTCATTTGATGTATTTGGGAAACTGGAGGTAATGATAATATACAAAAATCCAAGTTACACAAGTTATTATAACCTGTAGAAACGAACTATTTCCTTCGACGAATTTTCATTTCTATGGTTTTCATCGAAGTGTGGTATCCTTTCCACTGCTTCCAGTTTGTACCCTTTCCGTAGACGTTAGAACCATAGAGTCCGTTAAGGTTTGAATAATGACAACCCTTGTACCACCATGCACCGTGATACATTACTGCACAATTAGAACCGTCGAGGTCGTTGTCTCTGTCTTTTGTAGTAAATTTCATTCCATTTTGAAATTTAAGAGCATCACCTGCAGTTCCAGAGTATCCGCCAACATGCAGCTTGTAACTGGATTCAGAATCACCAATATAAAACTGACTGTACTCTGCATACGCCGATTCTCCTTTAAAGCTGGTAAGGTCAACTCGAAGCTGATATTTGTCTTGGCTGGTTATCTCATGTATAATGCGATTACCAAGATAGAAGTTATCACTTAGATTACCAAAACCAGTTTCGTATTCGTCCCATGTCTTATAAAAGTCGCTTTTAGAAACCCTCCTTTGTATAATGGTCCATTTACCGCCTGATGTGTCCATATCGCAACGTACTGAGATGCCTTTCTTATTGGAAGTAGGGTAAATAGCGTAAATGCCAGTTTTATTTTGACCTTCATTGTAAATATCACCACAATCTATAGGTTTCGGTTTATGCACATCTAACATAAGAGCGGAAATATCTGCAATCATGTCTTTCTTTAACTCCGCCAGATCTGCTTTTGTGGCAACATCTGTCCTGTTTGAATCGCACGTACACGAAAGACGGTTTGAAATGTTAGCAAATATTTTCTCTATGTATTCGTCTGTGTCAGAAAATTTATCAAAATCTGACTCGCTACTTTCATCACTATGCATCTTTACCAAAGGAATATATATGTTACTTTCATGTTTCGCAGCAACATATCCCAAAATAACAGTCATAACAAGAAGCTTACACATTTTAGTTGATTTCATTCAAACAAATGTTAATTGAATATGTTTTTATGATCTCAAACTGTTAATAAACGTTTATTTTAGCAACAATCTGTGGCGAACAACTTGAAATTGCAAAATGGGAATGAAAAACTGGAACAGAGTATAAATAACTACTCTTCATTTATAAACAATGGAGATTCTGAATATATAAAGAGATCAAAGTGAATGTAGACATTGATAGTGCGAAAAACTAAACAAAATGAAAATAGACATATCTCTCATCTTATCAGCAACAATTGGATGATCTTGAATAAATCAGATACAGACAGAAACAAATGTCAAACAAAAATGGCTAAAATTAGTACAAAGTTATGAAAAGAAAATATAAAATCTAAAAGTAAACGTTGACTTTATGTAAATTCAGACTAATACAAACAGAAAAAACAGCAACAAACAGAGATTTGCAAATAGCCCTTATATTTTATTTGTCATTTTTACCACAAATATATACATTTAGTGTACTATAAACCCTTTTAGCTATAACTTACATTACACCATTAATAAAAATAATAACAGTTGATAATATGTATATATACACTTTAAGTAATCAATTTATTCTACCATTGTAGTAAAGATCTTATTTATGTAGAATAATAAACATAACAGAAAACAAATTGGAATTTTTATCATACTTCTGACATTACAAGTAACTCAAAATAGGATATATATATTTTTATATACAATGTAATATATGTATTAATGTATAACTACGTATAAATGTACCCAGACAGACACTAACTGCGACTAAATAATTCAGTGTATAAGTAGCAAATACCCACGTACACTGGACGATCAATTTTCGGCTTATTTCCACAAAACCATAATTGCTCGATTCGGAAAAGGGCAAAAATAGCACAGTCCAAAAAACAGTAATTAATTAATTTCTGTTACCGATTTCTTTGGGTAATGCACCAGCTTGCCAATAGAAATAGATGATTTTTCCTTCAAGTTATCTGAGACAAAAAACGATTTTAACAACACATAAATGTAATAACCTTTAAAAGTTGCTTATATTAAACGAGCGGGACTTCAGATTGCAGCTATTTCGAATAAAATGATTCATTAGTAAAATATGAACTACTGAAACTACGCTACTAATGATTATATTAAAAGTCGATGATTATCAATACAACACAGGAGTACGTGACAGGCAAATCCTACTTGAATATATTAAAATAATATATGCAAAATATAATTACTATGAGCAAAAAATCTGAACTTTATTCTTACAATTGAACAATATATAAGGGCACCAGTTACCAAAGCCAAAAATTTGGAGAAACTACAAGATGCTATAAGCAGTTTCAGAAAGTGGTACAATGTGAAGAAACATGAATTCCGTTCTCTTTGTATAATAACGACTATTCTTATAGAACAGTCTGTTATTTGGGAAACAAATTATGCCTTGCCATTGTAATAACCAGTGTAGCAATACCACGTGACCTGGACGTCATTTTCGGCATCATTTCCAAGACAAATATTGCTGGAATCGAAAAGGAAAATAGCCGTAAGTATTTTATTTCTGCACCGATTTCTTTGGGATATACACCGTTCTTCGGAGAAAAATATAAGCTTGCCATAGAAAAGTGTTTTTCCTTTAGTTTATGAGCCGTTTTATCAAACTCTTTGAAAACCTTGAAAGTTGCTTGTGTACGAGCGGACTTCAGTTGCAAGCTATTTCGTTGCCTTGTAGCCATGATTTAAAAGTCGTGATTTCATCAACCGGGAGTACGGAAGACAAAATCCTACTTAAATATGTTTATATTGCAATAATTTATGGCGTAAATCTGAACTTTTTCTTCAATTGACAATTATGGCACCAGTTCCAAGCCAAAAATTTGGACTACAGTTTGAATTGGTTACAAATGTGAAGAAACATGAATGCCGTTCTCTTTCTATAATGATAAGGATATTGAATGAGTGTGAGTTTAATACTGACTATATTGAACGAGCTGAACAAAAATATATCATGCGAGCCTTTAGAAAGCATAATATTATTTTATTCAACGAGCTCAATAAATTTATTAATGAACTTATACGAATTGAATATTCTTTTTATCACATACCAAAAATAAAGACCGTTTAAAGTGAAATAAGAGTCATTTTTCATTGACGCGCCTATAGTATAACGCTAACATGTAGCGCGTCTTTACACTATGTTTGTATATACGCTAATGACGTCACGTCAAAAATATGCACGTGCCGTTGTGCAATACCATATTTGCAGAGTCGAAAAATCGCCACGGGTGTGTGATATAAGAAAAGTATGTTATTGGGAACAACAAATTATGCCTTGCCAGTTGTAATAAAAGCAGGCAGCATCCTTTACGTCATGTTTTCTTTAACGATGGCGTCAGATGGCTAAACACAATTTGAAAACAATGAATGGGGCATTGATCTCTCTCACTAATGTTCTCTAAACATACTGTTGCAAAACCTTATTTAGGCCATTTGGCTTTTAAGGACGTTTTCGGGGAATTTCATATATGACATATAGGCAAAATAGCAAACTGAGTTTTTTAACTTGTCACGCGGTTAGAATATGATAACAGAACCATTTTAAGCGGAAAAATGGGGTCCTCATAAATAAAATCGTGCACATAAAATGCCAAGGATTTAAAAAGGTATTATTTAGTGAAATAATTTAAATACACCAATATGTATATAACTTTAATATGTATGCCGAACAATTCAGACTACAGGTTAAGGCGGTTTTTTGAATTGGTTGCAAATGTGAAGCAACTTGCCTTTCGTTCTTTTTCTATAATTATGTAAACCAAGAAAACCATGTTATTATACGACGTAATGTATATTAAATAAAATATGTACACAAAAATCCATTTTACTGCGAAGGGTATGTAGACTATGTTCTCGAGGAGGAGTGGACGGTAGTTTGCATTTTCCAGTACAGTCCATCAACAGACTGGGTCAAACCGAGGCTGCCATATTTTCAATCGTGGGTGTTCTTTTGGGATGTTTTTTTCTCTATTTGACGTCAGCAATATGTATTGGTTCATGACACTCATAGATATTTCACAATCATTACTGTAAAAGAGCAATGATTAAAGAGCAAATAATTTGCTATACAAAAACAGATTTAAATAAATTATTTCACTAAATAATATCTTTTTAAATCTTTGGCATTTTATGTGCACGATTTTGTTACTGAGGACCCCATTTTTCCGCTTAAAATGTTTCTGTTATCATATTCTAACTACGTGGCAAGTTTAAAGAAACTCTATGGAACAGTTTTGATTTTGCCTATATGTCTATATGAAAACTCCCGAAAACGTCCTTAAAAAGCCAAAAGGTTGGGATAACGGGCAAACATAAATCTCTTAGGGCATTTCTAGGAAAACAAACAAATGACGCAAAATTAAAAAAAAAGCATGTGGAACAAACTATATATTTTTTTGCAACAGTATGTTTAAGAACATTAGTGAGAGAGTCCATCCCTCATTTATTGTTTTCATTGTTTTACCAATTGACGCCATTGTTAAAAGAACATGACGTAACGATGCTGCCTGCGTTATTACAATTGATTTGCACTTTGTATGATTCTCTTAGGAAACAGTATATATCCAACTATTTTACAAGAAACCCTAGCATGTTTAATTTTTTAGAATTGCTGAATTCAGAAAGGAAGTCAGTGTTAACAAAATAAGCTATATATTGTAACAAAGCTTTTAAATTAATATTTGATTCATGATAATTATATATAAAATTTGATCATGTTTTAAAGAAAAGTGAAAATCAATTGGTCAAAAGTTTTTCAAATATTGATAAAAACTACATAATATATCATTTGGTTATTCTTATAAAATATTGTTATGGTAATATTCTAAGTGATTTAGATCTAGTATGAAAATTAGTATGATAAATAAAATTATTTTGTTTTAAAACAATTCATTGTCTGCTATATAAATATTTATGTAATATCGGATCCTGCATTTTATATTTAACAACAACATCCATGTTTATTTCTTTCGTGGTCAAACATGACGTTTGATAATAAACACTAACAAAGTTAATATCTCTTGTATTAAAGACCTTCTATTATATACCAATTCACTCTTAGTTAACGCAGGTTTTATTTGTTTGTTCATAAAAAACGAAATACAAAATATCAGTTTTAGTAGCATAAAAGCAACTTAAACAATATAATTACGCAAGGAAGTCCTTAACTATAAAGTACTGTATGGAAAATGCACGACAAATACACATAAATTGCATTTTGCTGGACGATATTCATACCAGAATTGCACGGATCGAGATCACCTAACACAAAAAAACCTATCAGTTATTTCAAGCTTTCTAAAAAATTAAATTGCACGGATCGAGATCCCCTACCACAAAATAAAAACAAAATAAATCATTTATTTCAAGCTTTCTAAAAGTTTGAAGCATTTAAACAACACAAAGCTGTAAATAATGTACAACATGCCCATAGCGACAAAATGACAATATCATTTGTTACACTAATGTTCTAAATAATCCAATTTTAAACGGTATATCTTCTGAATCAAAACCAAAAACTTAAGTGATTTTGTTTTGTAAATTCAATCACATTGTCATTTTATTATTTCTGCGGGGCTTAATAACTAATGAAATATGGGATGTATTTCGTAAAAGAGCATGACCTCTTAAAACAGGTTATTTACCGTTTAAACATGGTTTGTCCACAGGATATCTGTACAAAAAGGTAAGTGTATTGTTTGACTAGAAAGCAACAACATATATTTTTTTGTATGTAGATGACAAAAATGGGATAGCATGTGGGTATAAATCAGAATGAAATGTCGTATTCGCAAGTTCGTACATTATTTATTTATTAAAGATGTCATAGAATTCTTAGCTTTTTGTGAAAACAGTGGCTTGTGTGTAGAAATTATGACTAGTATTCTTCCAGGGAACAATGATTTGGAACATTCCAAGTATTTATCGCCAAGTTTGAGGCCGAATGCTGCCCCGCCGGAAATATCAATGTTCTTTATAGGTGAACTCTCAGAAAATAATTAGGCCACCCAAATGTCACCGGGTGTTATTGACACTTTTTAGAAACCAGACTTTTTACATCATATAAA